TATGTTTTCTTTCGGACCGAAGCATTCCTTTTGCCTTGGCCGCATCCTGGGGGCGCCAGCTGCCTCGTGGGCTCGCGAGCAAAGCGGGCTGGACGAAAGGGAAGCGTGGCCAAGGGGATTTGCCCAGCAGCTCACATTGCTGATTTTCCGAGCGCCCCCTGGCGCCGAAAGCGGCCATGCATCGAGGACTGGCCACTCGGCGGGGCGACCGAAACCAGCAACGCGCAGCAGGTTTCGCAACCCCCTTATTCATTCCCCAGCCTTGCGTCCGACCCGAGCAAGGCGGGCAGTTCTGCTCCCACCCTCTGTCGTGGTTTCTGTAGTCGTCGTCGTCGTCGTCGACCACGACGACGACGACGGGCCGAGGACGAGGACGACGGACGGCGGACGACAGACAGCAACGGCGGCCGGCGACGTCGACGACGCACTGCGGATGCGCCACGGGGGGGGGGGCTGCGCAGGCCCGTTGTAGTCGACGACGACGACGACGACGACGACGAATGATGACGAAATACACGACGACGACGGCGGCGGCGACGACGACAACGCCTGAGAGTGGGAACAACAATTCGCCTCGGATTTGTAGATCCCTATCACAAATTCTACATGAAAGGCAATCGTTTTGAGGCTGTCATGCAGGGGGGTGCACAATCCACTCGGCGGCGCCAGCGACGACCCCTTGGCGCGCGCGATTCAAAACAATGCTTCGCACCCTGCTTGGTCTTTTCCTCGGCCCCGGAGGGGGGGGGTCCGGTCATTTGTCAATCACGAGCAGACAGGATCGGGTGTTGCTAGACCCTGAGGTCCGCGCGCTGCAGTACTTTCAGGAGGGAAAGAAACACACAGACACAACTAGTCGTCGCTTCCCAGGAAAATATGGGAAAGCATGGGAAGTGGGGGGGAAGACAGAAACCCAGAAAAGGTTGGAAAACATTGGGAATCCTTTTATTTGTGTGTATCTATGTGTGTGTCCCAGGGCCCCTTCCTACTTGGCACACCAGGCCCTTCCGCCTGGCCTCGGGCCCCAGGACCTTCGTAGATCGACCCAGCTCGAGAAAGGCAGCCTAAAGATTGGGCTATTGGAGCGCTGCTCGTGATGCTTCTCGAAGCTCCAATTCTCTGTCGCGGCGTCGCATCCTCGGGGAGAGTCCTGCCTCGAGCCAACCTTGCTCGCACCCTTTGGAGGCCTCGTGGGCCTCGCGAGGGGTGTCCTGGGGGCCCCGAGGCCTCCCCAGCACTCCTGGGGACGCCTTCGGCAGCACCCGGAGACACGCTGTGGAAAGGCCCGCACCGATCTGTCGGCGCTGGGCCCTCGGGGCGGCGGTGCTCGGCCGGGCGGGGGTGGTGTGGGCCCCTGCGCCGACCCAGGAAGGGAGGCCGCCCAAACATAGCCGAAACAAGTGAGGTCGGGGGATCGCGCCGCATCGCCGGTGCTTCGGCGATGCCTCCGCGACGTCGGCGATGCACCGGCGACGACGGGCTCCGCATCGAGCCCCATCGGCTGCTCCGACGCCAGCTGGGCGGCCCGGAGGAAACGCGTCCAGGCCTCCAGGGATCTGTGGCCCGTGCCGCGTTTTTTGGTGTCCTTCGCGGCCTCGCCGCCCTCGGGGCTCAGCGCCAGAGGGCTGGCCTGGAGAAGCAGAAACCGGCAGACACATACATTTTCGGAGCTCCGCGCGGACTCTGAGGATCCGCGCCGGACGCCGATCCCTGGCGCGCGGAGCGCGCCAGGGGCGGCGCTTGAGGCGCCGCCAGGGGGGCCCGGCGCCGATTCAAGAGATCCGCGCAGACCTCCGATAAATTCTGAGGCGCGACGATAGGGGGGAACTGGCTCAGGGGGGGGGAGCATCGACCTGAAATCGGCCATACATCGCCGATATGTCGGCGATAGGCCTCCGATAGCGAATCCGCCCGTTCCTGGGCGGGGTGGGGCTGTCGTGCCCCTATCCACGATCACTGGGTGGTTGGGGGTCGATGCGTCCCCCCCCCGAGCCCACCCCGCCCTGTAGTCGCCCCTGAAATTATGCTTGTGTCGTATGTTTGCGGGGCGGGGATTTACCCATATCCACCGCCTGGGAACCGACGTCCTGGTGCCCCAGCGGGCGGTGGCTATGGACATATAGTTTGGCCCCCGGGGGGCCCACATATGTCCACATCCACCGCCTGCCGAGGTCCCTAGAAATAGATTCTCCAGGCGGTGGTCACTGGCCATCGCTCGGACGTTCATTCCCGGTGCTTCTTTCGGTTTCGCGCGTGGCTTCTTCGCGGGATGATCCAGGATGCTCCCTAGTAATCCCCGCCGAGAAAAAGAGCACACGTCCGAGCGATACCAAGCGGAATGTTGTCCTCCGATGGCCTGGGGCTGCGGCGGCTGCGCCGCCTCCTCCGCCTCCGCGGGGGCTCCGGAGAGGCCCCGCAGGAGCCGGCCCAGGCCCCGCCGGGGGCCGGCGGGGTCGGCGCCCGCCTGCGGCGGCGAGGGCCGCAGCACCGCCGAGGGCTCCTGCGGCCGCGCCGCGGCGCGCGCGGTCGCGCGCCGGCGTCGCGGGGGCTGCTGCTCGGCGGGCTGAACCTAAACGGTGTTGTTCGTTCTCGTGTTGTTTTCGTGCTCCCTCGTTTTGTCTTCGATCCGCCTTCACCGCAGAATGACATCGGAACGAAAACGGCCCACGAAATCGCCAGAACACCGTTTAGGTTCAGCCCTGCTGCTCGGCGGTCACGCAGGCCGCGCGGGCTGGCGAGCACTGTCGACGGCCTGGGGTGCGAACTTGCGAGGCGGGCATTTAGCCATATCCACCGCCTGGAAGCCGACGTCCTGGTGCCCCAGCGGGCGCTGGATATGGATATGGATATGGATATGGATATATGTATATATATATATATATATATATATATATACCCCGACCCTCCGCTTTTCTTCGGCGCAGCCAGAGCGCTGTTCAAAGGAAGAAGGCCCGCCCGAGTTACCCAGAAGCTTTCAAAAATCCCCCACACACCAACACCGGCCCACACTGGCCCACGCCAGCCCACCAGCCAGAGCACGCCGAATACCCCCCACCCGCACTGGCTCACCAGGAAGCCCCGGCAGCCAGCAGGGTGGAGGTTTCAGCGAGCCCCGAATGCTAGGAACTTCTGAGGGTACTCTGGGGGGGACCAAGACTCAGACCCAGAAGCAACAGGCATGCACGCACCACCATGCGCTATGACGAGCTTTGAAACTGAAGAGGCATGCGCGCAAAGAATGCGCTATGACGAGTAAGCCAGGCAGAGACACGGGAGGTGGCCCAAGCAAACTACGGATGACCCCCTTGGGGTCGGCTGCGCCGAACGTTTCACGGGAGATTCTCAGTATAAGCTACTCGGGAAGATACCATATACCCCGACCCTCCGCTTTTCTTCGGCGCAGCCAGAGCGCTGTGTTCAAAGGAAGAGGGCCCGCCCGAGTTACCCAGAAGCTTTCAAAACCCCCCCACGCACCAACACCGGCCCACGCTGGCCCACGCCAGCCCACCAGCCAGAGCACGCCGAATACCCCCCACCCGCACTGGCTCACCAGGAAGCCCCGGCGGCCAGCAGGGTGGAGGTTTCAGCGAGCCCCGAGTGCTAGGAACTTCTGAGGGTACTCTGGGGGGGACCAAGACTCTTCCATGACCCCTACTCTGCACAGACTGCGTTGCAGGATGGGCGCCCCCTCTCTTTTATGCATGCCCCGCCTGGCGCCTCTCCTGAACTGACTGATCAGAAGGGAGAGGAATAAGATGAAGTCTGAAAGGAGGGGGTCGGAGGAGAGGGAGGCATCCTTTCAGACATGGGAGGCGAGCGCGCGGGCACCCGCAAGCTGCAGGTCTGCCAGCAGCCGTCGGCCAGCGCGGCCACCGCATCCTGCGCGTAGACTCGTGCAGACCGCGCGCTCGCCTGCTCCCTCTCAACAGGGTCAGCACGAGACTGCCCTGCTCCAAAAAGTCCTGCGTGGCGCCTCCGCGCCGAAATACAAGGTCACCCTCTCGTCTGTGAGGCTCAGCGCGAGCCCCGCGCGCCTGCGGAGCTGCATGAACTCACCCCTTGATGTTCAGGATGTGCTTGTCGAGCACATGCTGCGGCAGCAGATTCACCGCGAGCCTGGAGCGGATCATGATCAGCTCAAGCCAGCTGCAGCGTTGCCCCGTCTTAGTGTTGCGGAGCACCACGATTGCTGACATCTGTCGCTGAGAGATGCGAATGTCCTTTGGCCTTCGTTGCAGCCTCTCACCACTGCCCAGCGCCCCTGCGAAGCCGACGGCGAGCAAGGCGCCCACCCGAAGCACGCCTCACCAGCAGGATCTCCTGCAAAGGCGAGGCCGAGCAGCGGCGGCATTGGCGTGGCACGGGCGTTGGGCTCCATATTAAGACAAGTCTTCAGGAGCATCCAACTCTGCTTCAGCCTGCCCGACAGCCACGGGCTGAAAGATGGCACAGCAGTGAGCGCATTGTTCACGGCAAGTAGTGAGCCGCCTGTGCGGCATACGTGCTCGATGCACAGGGCAACGCCATGGTCAACATCCCGCGCGGTCTTTGGGCGCAGATGCTGCTTGTTGAACAAATCTCGCAACTGTTGTCGCGCCTGTCCATAGCGCTGTCGGGTGACCGCAAAAACTCGTCCATCCTGAGGCGGCCTGCTACGCCTGAGCCGCTTGGCGCCCACGGCCCACCAGAGCCGCGCTGCCGCGCTGAGCGCGCCGGTGCCCCCGGCAGCCCATGTCCAGCCAGCGCGACGGCACCTCCACTGGGTCGTCGTCCGTGTCGACGTACGCGAACAGCGGGTAGCAGCCACAGGCGACGAGGTACGACGCGTGCGCCAGCGTCCAGCCCCACAGCCTCCTGGCGCCGGGCCGGCCCCTGGCGAGCACGCTGGCCGCCACCGGCGGGTCGAGGAGGTGGAGGTAGCGTTCGAGTCGTCGTCCGGGCACGCCACTTGACCGCATTCACAGCCGCGCCCATCTCCAGCTCTTTGATGCGCGCCTCCTGCTTCCACGGAAAGCCGTGCCGAATGGACCACGTCCACATGTTGGCCTGCAGCCCGGCTAGCACCGTGCTGCATGTCTGCGCCTCCTCTGCTGGCGATCCGCAGGTACTTGAACACCAGCCGCCTCTCAAGGTCCGGATCGTTAGCCTCGGCGCCTCCAAACTCAGGCTCCTGGCCCCACGATGGCGACGCCGCCCCCAGGCGGAGCAGCGGCGCAATGTCGGGGGCCGCACGGCCATCCTCTCTAGCTAGGAGCTCCGCAAACCAGTATGACACGACCTGCGCGCAGAACGAGTTCCCGATGAACGATGACCTGGCGATCTCTGCCTCAGCTCCAAGCAAAGAGCCCTTCCCAGCAGCGCGTGTGTGTCCTCGAACAAGGCCCCTCACCGCCTCGCGCTCAGCTGAGGGGATACGCCGCTTGTCCCAAGCCGCGTTCGAGAGAAGGTTCTGGTCATCCAAATTGCACAGCTGCGTCACATAGCCGGAGGCTGTCCATCGTTCAATCGCGATGTCGCTGGCCATCTTGATCCCCGCGACCGGAGAAGGGGGACTCCTCTTGTACAGCTTAGCGACGGACGGCAGCACGTGACCAGGGTCAAGCTGGCCCCCGCCGTCCTCAGCCCCGACTGGGGCGGCCTCAGCAGCGACCTGCAACCTCACCTTGTGGTAGAACTCAGCCTCCAGGATCTCGATCAAGTCGTCCCGGGCCTGCAGCTGCCAGGAGACCCAGCACAGGCGCGGCCTACGCACCGCACCCGCCTCCATGGCATCGATGCGGTACGACGTGACGCCCAGCACCTCGGTGACCATCGCAATGTCGTCCAACGGCATGTCCGCCACGATTTCGACGAACCATATCGTGCCCCGCTTGCCGCAGATCCGCTCAATGGTTCTGGAGGCCTTGGACAGCTCGAGGGACGAAGCGTACATGACGACCCTGCAGGGGCGCTGCGACAAGGCCACCCCCGCCGCGCCGATCCCGCCGAGGTAGTCGAAGAGCGCCATTGTCAACCAGGGCACCCCTCGAGGCAGCAGCTCCGGCAGCCCCCCTGATGACACGGCGCCCCGAGGCAGGAAGGCAAGCCCCTCCTCACCAGGGTCGGCGCCCGCCACCTCCGCTCCATGCTTGGTGAGGCCCAACGTGTAGCACAGCCCGCCGCCTTCCTCACTGGCGTCGGTGGCAAGGACGACGGGGTCGAAGGTCGCGCGGATGCAGGTGAACGCCGTCGGCAGCAGGCCCAGGGCGACAAGCGGCTCGGTGCGCCCCCCCTCGGGCAGGCGGGCGACCTGCTGCAGGGCGCCCCCCCCTGTTCCGAGGCCCTTCGCAGCTCTGGGATGACCCGTGTCTCGTTGAGCGTCGCGAAGAGCAGGCTCAAACGCTCGGGCCAGCCGCCCAAGCACCAGGAGGCAGCCCGTGGCGGTCACCTTCTCCTTGCCAGCAAGCAGCCGCATGATCATCTGCCGGATGCCCATCAGGTCATCAATCGTGACCCCCACGCGGCCGGCGTCCCCGTCTACGAGGGTGCCCATCCTGACAAGGCGACGCTGGCGACACACCGCCTTCCTGTCCGACCAGAGGATGCGGGCAGAGGAATACGCCCCCCGCTGGCGTTCCTGAAAATCGCAGAGGGCCTCCTCGATGAGGGTGGCGACGCTCTCGGGCACGATCTCGGGGGAATCGATGTCGTCCAGGAGGCACTGCACACCCGCCTGGGCCATGGCTTGAGGCACAAGCGGCCGCGGGCGGTCACGCCCCCACTCCACCTTCTTGCCGAACCCCGCGCTGCGAGGCCCATCACCGACGCCTAGTCGTCGATGCAGGTGCTGGAACAGGCTCACAGCAGGCAGCCATCCCATCGGGGTCACCGCGTCCGCCATCTTGGCCCACTGGAACTGCGGCCGCGCTACCAGCGACCCAGGCACTGGCTGGCGCCACGCCATGTACCCCCGCCAGGCCCGCGGCAGCGCGTACAAATGGAACGCCCCCGACTGGTCGTCTGACGACCGCGCCAAGGCCTGGTCATCAGGCACGACGAAGGACGCCCACGTCGAGCTGGGGGTCGGCGAGTCCAGCTCGGCCTCAGCACCCCGCCGGTAGGCCTTCCGCGGCACCATGTTGATGATGAGCCTGGTGACCCTCGTGAAGGGTGGCGTCGGGGTCCCCAAGTTCGCAACCGCAAAGGCCCCCGCAAGCACCTGCTTCCCCCCGACTTGCACAGGGCGTACCACTCCTCGTCGTCGGTCGTCGGCCACATGCACGCTGGCCTTCGGGACCTCCTCTGGCCATTCGTCCTGAGGCTTGAGGAGCCGCGTGGGGTCCGACAACCACTCCTGCACATGCGGAGCCGCGAGATCCAAAGCCTGCCCGGAACCAGCCAACGCCGGCTTGGGCAGCCCTGGTCGTAGCTCGCCCATCACCAGTGGCCCCCCGCGCTCAAGCTCCTGCCCGCTGTAGCCGAACCCCTTCGTCGTGATCAGCTTGTCGATGTCCAGGTCGC